GTGTGTGTGTGTGTGTGTGTGTTTATAGATTTTACACGCCTTCAGAAACTAGTAAATAGTTCACCAGTCACTTAAATAGAAGGAGGGAGACTTCCTTCAGAGTTAGGGAATGTAATCCCAGCCTCCTTTGTGCAAGTACAAGAAATCTGAGTGTAAAATGGAAAATGTCTATACAGTATATAAAGGGGGGAAAGTTCCATTTCACCATTTTCCAACCAAAACTGCTTGAAAACAAAAGAAACGAACAGTGTAGAAATGTAACTTTTTGTGCGTCTGACAAATAACAGTAGTTCTAAGATGTGTTCCTAGATCTGTAAGTAATGACCCAATCTGCAAGTGATGAAATACAGCTGAAAATGGATTATCTAAACACTACAGATAGAAGAATTTTTGTGTTTATCATTACTTTGTTGTCTTTGAATTATCCACTGCACAAAGGATAAAACAGGAGCCTTGATGCATAGCTTGAAACTGTGCCTGGAAAGTAAACAGCTCCCTGTTCTGGGACTTGCCTTAAACTTGTCCAGTTTTTGTTTTTGCTTTACCATTAGCATCAACAAGTTTATCCCACCTCAAGCAGTATGATATGCTCAAGGATCTCCCATTAGTAAGTTTACATTCACAGACTGAAAATATACTTTCTTTTCTTAGTGACTTGTTTCTCCATTTCTGTGCAAGTCTTTGTGGAATCTTAATTCTTAATCATACTGATTCTTCATCACATTTATGTCCTAGTATGTGTCGGTTTACTAAGGGATCCATTCAATATACCATGGTCCAATGAACAAAACTGTGCAATACTTCAGAAGATGTATACAGTGCTTAGGGAGTAGGTATGTAATATGGAGAATTGCCAGATGAACACATCCAATAAAGCCACAGACAGATGAACAAAAATACATGTATCATGTAAATGAGGGGGAAGGTTGGAAGTTGGACAAGACTCTTCGAATATTCAGTTCAACATCCCCCATAAATATTGGAGAAAAATGTATCTGGCTTTGTCATGAGGCTTTTAGTATGTATATTGTTTAATAAAAATATACAGATGAAAATCAGAAAATATCATTTAAAGCAGTTGAAACCTGTGACTTTGTGCGTGTGTGTGAAATCAAGTTGACTTGGCTTTTCAAACCCTTGTTACATTGTAACTTTTTAATGTAAAAATAAAGTAATGAATAAGTCTTAAAGTTAATTAACTTCCACTCCCTATCTCGGTCATTATCTTACCTGTGCTTATTTAGACTGGAAGCTCTTTAGTTCAAGGACCATGTCTCTTTGCCTTTTAGATTTACAAATACACTTACTAAATTTCTCAGTGCATGTGCGAAATATCATAGGTTACAGACTAAAAAACCAGAAGGGACCTGCTGTGATAATCCAGACTGACCTCAAACACACACACTAAATATTGACCCTGTGTCATGCTTAAGGATACAATCCATTTTAAGGGCATTCAATAAAATGGCCATCTGGTATTGTTCAGCTTCATGGCCACTCTGTGTTGGCAATCAAAGGGAGAAGCTACTGCTGCATGATGCTCTGAACCAATTAGTATTGGTTGGGTAACAGCCATCTATAAAACAGGGACTGTCCATGGATACGGAACGAACTCCCCACCTCCACAAAGTCAGATGATCCTACTGAATTCTTCCGTTCAGGAGATTTCATTTCCGTAAAACACTGCATCTGTTTGTATAGATGGTGTTTAGTCTGGAAAAAAGACTGAGAGGGGACATAATAGTTTTCAAGTACATAAAAGGTGGTTACAAGGAGGAGGAAGAAAAAATATTGTTCTTAACCGCTGAGGATAGGACAAGAAGCAATGGGGTTAAATTGCAGCAAGAGCGGTTTAGGTAGAACATTAGGAAGAACTTCCTAAGTGTCAGAGTGGTTAGGCACTGGGATAAAATGTCCAGGGAGGTTGTGGAATCTCCATCATTGGGGATTTTTAAGAGCAGGTTGGACAAACACCTGTTAG